TCCTCCTCCCTTACTCCCTCCTCCCTTGCTGCTTACCATTCCCTCCCCCCTCCCTTTCTGTTCCTACCCCCTCACTTTTTGTCCCTTCCCCCTCACTTTTTGTCCCTTCCCCCTCACTTTTTGTCCCTCCCCCCTCCCTTTCTGATCACCACCCCCTCCCCCTTCTCTGTAACATAGAATGTAGTAAAATAAATTTATGTAGGTATAAAATATACTTTGTTTTTGAAACCTCAATGTCTTAAGGAATTTAGCATAAGGTCTGACCAGGGCCTGACTTGTTTAGATTTACTTATAAGAATTGCAGACTGGACACTGAAAGTCTGTTGGAAGTTGTGCCTTTTTTGCTTAGAAGTCCATTGAAAGTCCATTGGAAGTCCAGTGGAAGTCCAGCAGACTGAGAACTTAGCAATTATGATGGTTTCTGCCTCTGTCCGTTGGAAATCCGACGGAAGTCCAGCGGACGTCCAACGGACACAGAATTCCGGCCAGTCCAACCATTTCTTGCTTCTAAGTAGTTTGAGTGGACTTTCACTGGACTTTGCCTGGACTTGCAGCGGAATCCAGTCATGTCCAACGGACTCCAACGGTCTTCCGACGGACTGTCCACTGAGTCCATCGGAAATGGCAGGGTCCGATGAAAGTCCGTCGGAGTCCATTGGACAAGCAGTGGGAGTGTAAAGTACTGGCACTTTCTGATGAGTCCGTAATAGTTACATGCAATAGTTGGAATGTACTGAATTGAATAGCATGTAAAAAAATAGACTCTTGTTCAGTGATTTCACTTTTCTGCCCCCAGAAACATCCAAGATACTTCTCAGTTCTACTACTATTTTCTGAAAGTATATTCTGGAAAGGTGAGTTGATATGTGGTGAAGATAGATTTATATTTCAAATATATATATGTATTTGAAAAATATAGAAGATATATCCTGGCTCAAGATATAGTTGAAGGATATATCCTGGGTCAGGATATAATTGAAATATATGTCTTATGAATATATTCTTGTTCAAGATATAGTTGAAAGATATATCCTTGTTAGATAAAGTGGAAAGGTATATCTTGGTCCAGCATCTAATTAAAATATTCATGATATAGTTCAGAAATTATGTATCTGGATTCATGATATGGTCAAAAAATAGATCTTGGTTCAGGATTTTTTAGTGGAAAGATAGGTGTGACTCCATACTATGACATGGTGAATAGAATTCATTGTCCAAAAAATTACAATCAAAACTCAAGAGAAAGAGAAAGGGAGGCAGGGAGAGAAGAAGAGGAGGAGAGGAAGAAAGGAAGAGAAGGAGAAAAACAACAAAGAACTTGGTGAACTCTTGTCTGTGAAGATGGTAATACAGATGTTGGTGAACTGTGCAACTGAACGGAGAAGAAGAGAAAGATCAAAGCACTTTGTCAACTTGATGGTAATACAGATGTGGGTGGGTATGCAGATATGGTGCAACTGGAGAGAGAAGAAGAGAAAGATCAAAGCACTTTGTCAACTCAGAGGGTGTTTCAAGGCAGCTAAAGAATTTCATAGTGCAAACTGTATCTATAGTGTCAAAGTGGATAATATGC